GGGTGGAAGACAGAGAAGAACGAAGGGAGAAAATGAAAACGGATGCAATTTGTTTTCATTTTCCGTTTTCAGAAAAAAGTGAGTTTTTGAAAAAAAATCCAAAAACGTTTTTATTTTTTATTTTGGTACGAATCCGTCCCAAACGCATTTTCCTTTCCCGTTTCAATTTTTCTCCTCAAAAAATGTGAAACAAAAACTAAAATGAAAACAAACGGACACAAAATTTAATAGGTGTAAACCGCTTAAATTTTGTTGATTTAAATTTTTTTTTATTTGAACCAAAAAAATTTAAACTATACAGTTTAAATTGTAATATAAATTGGTATTTGAATGTGGAGTTAAAATTTTAATATAAATAGAAAATAAAATCTAAATTTATGTTCGGCTCATGTGAAAAATAATGTGCATATTTTTACTGTTTAAAAATAGTTTATACTGATGAACTTAAAATGGGAACTAAATTATAAATTGGAAGTTTAACTCAATTTAAACAGAAAATATAATTTAAACTGCGTGTTTATCAAGTGCGAGTTCAAATTGTGCTCAACACTCGAACTAAATTAAACTGAACTAAACCAGTAATACAAACCAGGAGTAGTTTTCAAAAGTAAATTGCTGCACGAGAAAAAGAAAATCCTGCTAATGGTTTAATCATTCACAAGTAACAAAATTGACCATTAAATACAAATGGGCACCAGGCACTCTTTATTGTATTTGTGAAAATACAGTAACAACAATAGCACTCATAATGAAGATCTGTCCTAATATAAAAATAAAAACACTCATCAATTCATGTCACGATCTCTTGAAAGGACGCCGGAAGAACGACAATTTGATCTCCTATCATGGTGTTTCAATCCAAAGGCCAAAAGCAAAGATGTTGTTTCCCCATCTTTTTTGTGCAAAAAAAAAACCCCCAAAAACAAACTCACATAAAATCATAGTCGTCAATATCATCGTAGGCCACAACGATGTCATCATCCGGTTTATCCACATGAAGTTGCTTTTTCTTCCCACCTGAAAATTGAAATAAAATAATATAAAAAAAATGAGAAACACCCATCAAAGCCATATTGTGATTGTAACTGGGCCTAGCTTTAATATTTGAGGTGTGATTTACTATTACATATAAGGCGGACCCCAGTGCCAAAGAAGCTCCCGTACTATGACAGGCTCGGGAGAAAACTCAATCTCATATGTACGTGGTCTTACCCCCCGAAGGAGAGGCCATTTCCGGGATTCGAACCTTGAACCCCGGGTGCAAACGCAAGCGCTCCCACCACGGTGCCAAGGCCCGCCTTCGATTTACTATTATATAATATCGAAAAATCCCCAAACTCACTTTGTGCGCACCCGGGTTTGAAACTGGATCCCACCGCCAAACCTTACAATCTTTGGCAAGAGATAAATCATATGGTACCAATTTATATCGTACAAGCAAATGGAGCTAGTGTTGATCTAATTTGTTATGAGCTGGGAACCCAAGTTATTTAAGAAATAATGCACTTATAATAAATACATTGTATGCCATATCACACATCTATCTAACCAAGCCTCGTTGTTAGTTTCCATCCATGAATGTGACAATGTGTAACTACTTATTTTTCGATATGATCTTTAGAGAAGAGATCTCTTTTGTATCCCCAATAAATTGAAGAATAACTAAAACAAAGATGAATAAACACAAAGTCGTAAAAAGAAAAGATAAATATAACATGTTATACCTGTCTTCTTTTTACCAGCATTGGCCTCCTTTTCCAACTTTAGCTTCTCATTAGCAATTGCTGTGATAGAAGATGCAACATCTTTTGCATCTGCCGCTTTCAATGAACTCGTGGACAATCTCATAACCGACTTAAGCAGACCAATATAGTGGTAACTTTTCTGCAATAAGAATACAAAAATATAATAAATTCTTTCGAACATGGTTAAATTCTCCAAACCTTTTGTTAAAGGATAATAACAGTTATAGCAAACCTCGAATGTTAGAAGTTTATGAGAAATGAGTTCTGCATATTCCTGAAAGTCACTTTCGGATTTGGGAATGAAATTATCAAGGGTTTTCTCATCGCCTTTCTTACCAAACAGTTCCTTGGTGGACTTATAATCTGCTTCTTCCACAAGCCTGAAAGGGAGACGTGCACCTTGTTTAAGAAACTAAAGTTTGATGCAAGATTAAACAACTTGTTTTATACTATTTGGGTCTTTTAGACAAGATTACTGCCAATTGTAATAAAAAAACAATAGCATTAATCAAAAAAAAAAAAAATTAGATCCGTGATTTATAGTGGAACGCGAGAAAATTTCCAAAGGGATAGAAGATCTTGTTACTGCTCGTGATACAATTACTCCAATAAAATCAGGACTTTCTCCAAGAGGAATGCATGACTCTCTAGAATGTGTCCCATATAACCTAACGTAACCAGTTGCTATGCAGCACAGATATAACAAAAGATATTCGACAATCCACATCTTGTTCCAAATGGGCATATGGCTAGGATTTGATACAAAACACAGTTCATAAAAGCATCAATCAAGCAGCCGATGCACTATCTCGGTCCCTATTATTCTGACAACACCACATTCATGGGATAGGATGATTTTAGACTCATTTAACAATAAAAAGTTGTTCAACATAGATGGAAAGAGGAATATATATGCGTATGGACATATTATACATGCATACATGCACATATTTAGCACTAAGTTGACATAGAGAACCGCACCTTATGACCTCAGGGTTCACCTTATAATATATTATCACTTATCATGTGTGGCAAAGCTACCACGTCTAACATGTGTATTAATGCAATATGTACAATAACATATCTTCATAAGTTCAAATAAGACTAATAAATCACCGACAACAACAGAAGTTAAAACTTCAACATTTACCTTTGCTGTCGAAGTTTCTCAGCGACAGGATCTAGTGGCTCTTCCTTTGTCTCGATGGTTTTTCCTTTCTTTTCTGCAGCTTTTGCTGCAGGTTTCTTAGGGGCCTTTTCAGCAGGCTTACTTGCAGGTTCCTGGTCGCAATGCACCAAAAAAGTGTAAAAATCAGTCGCAGGAGCCAGGAGTACATAGCATCACTAAACCCACTAAACATGCGGGTTTCATAACATGCTCAAGCAAGAAGCTTTTTATAAATTCTTTTGCAAAAAAGGAAAACGTTACAATAATTCTAACTGACTGACTACAAGGTAAAACAAAGATAGGAAATAATTAGGAAATTTTGAAGAGGGCACAATTATGGAGGTAGACAGATGTATAAATAATATGTAATGCATTGTAACACTGACATGTAAGCTAACTAAATTCTCCAACAAGTCTGAATCTGTCAGAATTACTTACACTCAGTAGTTTTCCCCAAATAAATTGGATCCCACAAACAAGAAGAGGCAGCACAAGCATAAATCAATTTAGGAAATGGAGACAGGTAAAACTGGTGCTCCCAAATCCAAAAGCATGTCACATAAAAAGAGAAATGAATATCACTTAAAAAAATGGCATTGACTCGTATTTTCCTTTCTTGCAAGAGCTTCAAGAATGAAAGATTTAGAACCAACACATCTTAAAGTGTTTTGATATGAGACAAAGTGAAGCATTGCTAAGCATATATTATTCTCACTCTCTATATGAAAGACATTGAACCTCTCAAAATTCACTGGTAAATAGTCCAAAAAACATAATCCCTCACGCAATCCTTTCCATTTGAGTTATCAGCAGGAAAAAAAAATACTCAGAATATGACAAGCATAAACTACCGGGGCAGGTTCATCATCATCCTCCCACGATTCCTTCACATCGTTTTCATCTATATCTTCATCATCCCATCTATTTATAGTTTGCTCCTTAGCAGGGAGAGGTGAAATTTTCTCATCCTCTGAAATTGATAAATATTAACAAAGAAAAACCTCAGCATATAGAAGAAACATATTTCAAAACAAAAACAAAACGAAAGAGTTGGAAAGGGAAATAAATTACCAACGGAAAAGAAAGCTGTCTAAACAACATAGACTAAAAGGAAGGTCACATAAAATAGCAGGAATTAAGTTCCCCTTAAGTTAAAAAAAAAAATGATTTTAAAGTGGAAGATGACAATAATAACAGAAACGACTAAAATATTATTCAGCATAAACTGCACGAAAATATTATTCCAAAGTGTGTACAAAACCAACAGCTACACTACACTGCACGCCAATACAGTGGCATAAAAATTAGCAAGAACAAGGTCTAGAGTGTAGTGCATTACCCCAGTCCTCCATTTGATTTGTTAATCTGCTGTCAAACGAAGCAACTGTTGAAAGAAAATACTTATTATGCACCTGAAAAATGCCATGATCAAGCACCAAAAAGTGTTAAAAACAAATAGGGGCTATGTGTGGGAGGTGGGTGAGAGAGGAGAGAACAAAGGCATGCTAACAATGTCATGATGGAAGGGCAAAACAATGAAGACTCTCTCTCTCTCTCTCTCTCTCTCACACACACACTCTAAACTCTAAAGACATGAGCAGTAATACCAATAGGGACCATTGGAGTGGGGGTGAGCCTTCTGCATCCCAATATCTCGCCTCGTTAAGGGCGAGAAAGAGGTAAGAAATATGGAGGGAAAGTATCCAATATATTTCAGCTGTTATAGCTAGTAGCCTAGTACTAATTCGAGTGTCTAGCACCCATACTATATATTGAACATTCTTTATGTGCTTTTCGAGGGGATGACGATGGGTTTTGGTAGAGTTTGGGAACAAACTAAGGGCCCGTTCAGAAAGTATACTCAAACTATGATTCTTGATTCTGATGTTTGAAATTTAAATTTTTTGTGAGAAAAAAAACACTGCAACAGAATCAATAATTTGAGTTTGAGCATATGAAACAAATAGCCCCAAGTTTTGGGTAGCATTGTACATTCATTCTGGAAAACAGTTTAGGATATGATGCTCTCAGACCCATTAACGAGTAAGAGTTCTTTTCGTAGTTTGTTCTGTGGGTTGAGACTAATATAAAAAAAAAATATCAATCTTCTAAAAATAGAAAAGTAATAAACAAATAGAATAACACACAAATAAATAGCAATTTTCACCAATATCAACATAAAACCACGACAGCAATTTCCAACAACCAAACAAAATCCAAGAGCATAAATCAATTTAGGGATCTTGGATTAGATGCCTCTGGTTTTACAAGATATAGGTTTAGGGCTTGAGATTTTGTTTCTTTCCTCATGCTTTTCTTAGCTTCTCTGTTTTCTGTTGTATTTGTCTCTTTCAATAAAATTTTCCTCTATGAGGTTTTAATAAAAAAAATAAAAAGAACATCAATCAATTACCAACAAATTCCACAACATAACGAATTCATAATCTAATTTTTTTCCATAAATTAAAACATAAAATAAAAATTTCAAACACAAATCAAACAATTATCCATCCAATGAGCTACGGTTTTTCAATTCCAAAACAACCGACTATAGGATTCGTAAAATCTATGAAATCCCATAATCGAATAGAAGCAAAGGGAGATAAACGATCGAACCGTAACAGAAAAGCTTGCAATCAACTCATTAAAGACTCGGATTTTCCGCCACCAAATCCCAAAATCAAACGAAAATTACAAAAATTAAGGACAGAAAACAAACCGTGGAGGAGCTTTGGCTTGAAATCGGCCCGCGAAAATGGTCAGAGAAGGGCTGACGCGACGCCGCTCGCAGAGGCGGAGAGTCGACGGCTGAGGAATATCAAAGGTCTAGGGTTTTCTCCAGAATGCACTTAAACGAAGGGCTGAGATGTTACAACCTAAAATATTCGAAATTTTATTTTTTATTGTTATTATTTTTTTTCTTATTCTTTTCTTTTTGTAACAGTTTGTTAATTTTTAGGTTGATTATTTACATATATATACTTCAAAATTTTGAATTTTTTCACAATTTATTCCCTTATAAACTATAGAGAAAATGTTCTTTGACTTTGAAAACAATTTTGTTCTTCTCAACAAAAAGAAAAAACAATTTTGTTCTTCTCAACAAAAAGAAAAAACAATTTTGTTCCTCATGCATTTTGTTGGTTAAAAGGAAAAAGAGCAAGGAAAAGGACAAATATAACCTTAATTGGACTAAATTTTATGATGAAAAAAATCAAAAAATTGTCATAAACAAGATGGAAGTCTAACGATGATATTTCCTTTTGAAATGTAATGTTTTTATTTTGGGGCTTTTATGTTTTTAAAATGTTTAAACCATTTTTTGTTTCTTAGGGATGAAATTTAAATAGAAAAAAATTAAACTCAAATGATACCTAGAAAGTTTGTAAAACACATGGATAAGTTGAGGAAACACCAAAATTGAGATATGTTTACAACCCATATTTTTATTTTCAATATATTATTTCTCTTTGGATAAAATATATAGGACAAGTGCTTAGTTTTCATCTTTTTAAGATTATGCTTAACGTGTATTTTTAATGAATTAGTATTTTTTTATTAATTTATGTAATTAAAATTGTAATTGTAAGAACTCGAGCTCACGATTAAAAAAGAAGGGAGAAAAATAATATACATAGTTTGGGCATTATGATTTGGGAAAGTTCCATCAAAACAAATATTTATTCATTTCACCAATTAACCAATGACTTTTATAATTGTACATTTTTCTCATGAAAGTTTCTCTTGTAGTTAGCCCTATCAGTAGTTTCAGTTTTTTATCATTAAATTTAGTCAAAATCACATCAAATTAAAAAACTATGTAAAACAAATGGATTTTGATACACATCTGACGGCTGAAAAGTAAAGGACTACCGATAATCTATTTTTGCATAGACTACCAGAGAAAGTCCTTTTGTCATTACGAACTTAATTTATTTATTTATTTTTTTTTTACTAAACGAGATGTAATATTAAAACGCCACAAAAGGCTAAAAGTACAAACAAAGGGACAAAGCTCACAAAACAGTCGAAAAAGTAACCAGACAAGCCATTGAATGGTTAGAAGACCACCGGGTGGAGTCAAGGTTCATCATGGACCAACGAGACATCACGCAGGTAGTTAGCCCACTCAGAAGAAACCGGAGCAACCCCATATCCCAATAACAAAGAAAATATCCTACAAAGAGTGGAGTGCAATCGAGGTCCGCCCACCAAACAAGATCTAGCCAAACAACGACCTTAAGTTGATCACCGTAATCCAACACCAAACTACAATTTCAATGAAGGTCGGGTGAAGAAACTACCGCCCTTATTACAAACACAGAGACTACAACCAACAACACAACAACAACAAATAGGACATATAGGGCAAGTGGGGAGACCACTGCCCTTATTACAAGCACTGAACACACAAACAACACAGAAAACAAATTTAGAACGCTACCTCTTCCTCGATCCATGACTCTGGAGTCCCTTAACGCCAATCCCTCAGAAGCCACAACTATCCAACTCCGCCCACTAGCCTCCCAGAAAGCAACCACGGCCCCTCTTCGACCCACGACAAGACTAGAACCACCGCAGACCACCCTCACCCACGCGGCAGGAACCCAATCTCCTTCTCAGTTGGGCCCATCAACGTCAGTGCTAAGCGAGCTACGTCCAAGACTGGCCAATGACGGCAGACCCAAGATGCCAAACCCTCACCCACCGTGATCCGACCCAGATTGAGGCCTCGGGGAGATCCATGGCACTCATAGGCACCACGGATGACGGAGCCGCCTTCTTCTTCAACCTCGAGACCATATCGGCGGCGAAAGCACGCCCTCTCCCTTCTCCACACATGAACTCCAATCCGAGCCTAGCTTCCATCCCCTGGCGGCACGAACCCGAAAACTCGCAGATCTATCGGTGATGACCTTCCAGAGGACGAATGGGGCCCAACAAACCGACGATGCGCCAGCCCGCCGGCCCCAACCCACTCTCTCTGAAACCCTCTTTTTCTTCCGTTTTCTCTCTTTCTCTCACCTCAAAACTCCTTCTATATATCATATCATATGATTAAGAACTTAAATTGAACAAAGTTTAATGCAAGGGTGTAACACCCCGAAGAATTAAACGAGATAAATTAAGGAAATTGAGATTTATTAGTGTGCCTGATCTGGTTTAATTAATTAATTATTGGATATAAATGTTTCTGACGTGTAAATTTAAATAATTCTAAGGTATTTAAATATTCTCAGTATTTATATTTTTTACCCAGAAGTGTGTATGGGCACATTTTCTAGATTGTCTTTTAAATTTTTGTGACACCTGTCCATTTCCTTTTTCTTTTTCCTTTTCCCTTTTTCCCTTCCCGTGCACCCTCTCTCTCTCTCTCTTTTCTTCTTTGTCCTTCTTCACATTTTCTCTCATTCTCTCTCGTTCTCTCACTCTCTCTCTCTCCCGTTTTTGTCTCAAACCAATCGGATTTTGAACCAAAGAAGGATTTCAAGAAGTTTTCAACGCCAAGAGAAGGATTCAAGGTAAGATTTCTGAAAAACTTCTCTTGAAACTCGGATTTTTCAGATTTAAAAACTTATTTTGGGTTCGAAATAGATTTTGATGGATTTTGAGTAAAACTATGGTAGAAATTGGAGATCTTGGGTACTTTGGACTTGATTCAGTACCTAGAACCCGGATCTAGTGGTTTTCCTTTGAGATATTTCGATTTGGAACTGAAATTATAGGTTTTTAGGCTAATTCCGCGGGTTTTCCTCGCCCTGCTGTTCTTCACAGGTCGACCTGTGCGGTCGACTGGACCGGTCGACCTATGCGGTCGACTGAACTGCATTGGTTATACTGGTCGACCTATGTGGTTGACCGAATTGCACATCATCGTTCGGCCGGTGGTGTTGCACTGCGCTGTCACCGGTCAACTGGTGTATACTGGGTTTGATCCTATTTTGCTGAAAAACTTTGTTTTGACCTCAGTTTTTGAGGAGAACCCAAATTAACTTCATTTGGGAACCTAGAGTAAATGGATTAGCTTCTTTAATCTATGTTTTGAGATTGAAAACCATTGGAATGATGATTTGAAACATGAAATGATTTGTGAAACCGGTAATTGAATTATGGCACACTAATAGGAAATCAAATGGTATAATTGAGATTGAAATTGCTTTAGGAATGTGAATTGGATCCTAAAGTGTGGTTTTATATCAGTGCTAGCCGAGGACTCGGATTGAGGGGCCTTGAGGGAGCGAAAGCCGGAATAAAGTAACGCTAGCCACATGTTTGATATTTACGAGGTATGATTTCTTTATCCCTTTCTTTGTGAGCCTATTTTCAAAGAGTTTTGGCCTTGTAAATGTTTTAAAGAAAGAGCATGTTTGCGAAAGAAAAATATGTTTAAAAATAATAGCTTGAATTTTAGCTATTGGAATTATAATGAACGGTTTCATACAGTTTAATGAATGATTTCTTAAGACAAGAGATCTTGTGAATCGGTAAACCGGCTGATGGTCTAGATAGGATGTGAATAGTGCATCCTTAGGGGCAGTATCTGAAACCCGTCCCGGGGGTGATTAGGCTTGTGTACGTGGTTGTGTAAGTAATTTATCATAGTATAAATTACTTGCTGATGCCTGTAATACAGAGATTTTTGGTTATATTCCAGAAAAAGGATGTGAGGTTCCGACTGTTGTGTTGGAAATGAATGTCTTATTTATTCATTTATTTATTTATTTACTTGCTTACCCATTTATTTATTTGTTTGTTTATTTCTAAAGTTATTTCAAAATATATCCTACTGGGCCTTTCGCTCACGTTTTATTGTTTTATAAATGTTAAACCCATCCCAGGCGACTCTAGGAGCAGTACAAAGTAACTGAGTTGCTACCACCCGATTAAGAGAGGATTGTGTTCATCCTCCTAGTGTACGAATGTAAGAATTTGTAAATTCTGTAAACTCTGATATTTGGATTTCTAGACTGTGGTTGATGTCTGTAATGTTATTTACATGTTCATGTATGTACAATGCTGAAGATCCTGTGGGTAGAACCTGTGGGTGTAGCCCTGAACAGTGTTAGAGGCGGGAGTTTTAGCCTCTTGAAATGTTCTTGTAATTTATTTTCGGTAAAATAGTGGGGCTTGTTTGGAGATTTCTTTGATATTTCACTGTTGGTTTTTATTATTAAACATTAAATCCCTAATCGAGCATCTACGTCACCGACCCCGGCTTCGGGGAGTGACAAAGGTGTGTAATATGTTTTTATTGAAAGGGGTGTTTCTATTATTTTAACAATATTAAAAAAAGATAGGTGTGAAAGACCCTCAAATGTGAAAGAAAAAAATTAATAAAACTAAAGAAAATTCATAATTATGTCCTAATAAATTCAATATATCACAAAACACATAAACACATAAAGTACATAATAAGAGCCTCAAAATTATTATGTATTTAATAACTCTCATGTTCTCAAACTCCTTATTCACTAAATTTTCTCCTTATTCCCTATGCTAGTAATATCACACAATCTTCAGTGAAAATAAAAAAATTAGCCAATAACATTAACATTCAAACATATTTATCTAATCGTAAAATTAGAAATTGATGAATAATTATAATTAAGTGCAGTCCATTAGAGAATGATAGATCCCTAATTAAAGAAAGATGTTTCCTCCTCCCATCTTCAAACCTTTCATTCAACCCTCCAATACGTATTTCGATGACGAGTAATGAGTCACTCATTTGTTTCGATGATAATTCCTCTTCATTCCTTTTCTTTTGAAAGATAGAAATCTTGTTATTTTATAAATCATTCTTTTTATATAAATTTCTCTGTATGTTTAAACAAAAAAATTTTATCTCAATTTATACCCTTCAAGTAGATTTCTGATTTGCCAGTTTGTGCAACTAGATTTGGACTTCAATTCACAATATAACTCACGATCACCATAACCTTTATGTCTCATTACTACTTACAGAAGAAAAGAGACAAATATCTCTTAAAAGGCACGAGTCTTGAATTTTTACTCCTTACACTTAATCAATACTCTTTAGTTAAAGAATTATATTAGTTAAAAAGATTATTAATAAAAAATAAAAGATAAAAATCTTAAAATAATGCATTTAAAAAGTGAGTTCACTAAGGTCTCGTTTATTTCACCGATTTGAGTTTTCAATTCCAATTTTGTTACAGTTAAAAGTTCTCACAAAAAGTCACATCTAACTTTTTTATTACAGTTAAAAATTCTCACATAAAATCACATATTTAACTCGAATTAGCAAACTAAACTAGACATAATTTTTTCTTTCATTTTCCTACAATTCCTGCATGGTATTCATGCCATTGGGCTTTGTACTAGGATGCAGGGGTTGCCGCTCCTATGCGGTGGCCTCGAGTTAGTTGACGAATAATCAATGAATAGATCGTTGTGAGACAAGATTGTTGGTCCTTCTTGTTTATTTTTGTATTCGAGAGGAAAAAAACAATAAAGAATAAGGGCAAAAATAGAATAACATAAAATTTCAATTGTAAACAACTAATTTTCGTGATAAAATGTACAAAATGGTGGTTATTTTCATTTTGGTTGAAAATGTTGGTTATTACTTTTCGCTTTAGGAGAATTCTATATCTATATTAAGATATAAGAAAATACTTTATGTAATAAAGTTTTGTTTTAAATGGTTAGATTTGTTTTATCAGTTTTGTATATCTTTTTTATTTTATATGATTTCAATTATATGTGATTTTATAAAAGGTGTACCTTCTTTTTTTTCTTTTTTTTTTCTAACTAAAAAAGGTTAGAAAGGGAGACTAATGACATTAGCATGTTGTCTAGGTGTTATCAAAGGGGCTCTCACAAGTTAATAAAAAAGATTATTATCCTTGATACTCTTTAAATAATTTAAATCACACTCAATTTGCCTCTTAATTTTAAAAATTATCACTTTATCTTTTAAATTTTAAATTAATCTCATTAAATTCCTTTTATAAAATTTTTTATTAAAATTAAATTGAAATAAATGAGTTAAGTAAAAATCATATGACTGTATTATTCTATTTTTTTATTTATTTTTAACAAAAATTTTAACACAAAAATTTAAATGAAAATAATTTAAAATTTAAAATAAAATAAAAATTTTTAAAATTCAGCAAATTAATCAACCCAAAATTGGAGGGGACGTGTGGTAATAATCCATCATCCATTATTATATGAAAGTGAAGAAGTAGAACAAGGAAGCTGACGTGGAGTATCCAGTAACATCCACCGAAAAGAAAGGTAAAAAGACTGTGTCGTAATCATACCAGAATTGCTTACTTGACACTTAGAGAGAGAATCTACAGAGAGAGAGAGAGAGAGAGAGAGAGAGGCTTACAATCCTGTGGCTCGATCGATCCGTTGTTGTTTGTTCCTCTCCGCACAAGGTTCGGTTTCTTTCTCCGATTTCCTCGGATTTCGCTTTTCGCATTAATGTCGACAGATTTAACGGAATTTAGCATATATATCATAATGATTTTTTATTTTATTTTAAATTTTCAATTTGGGAACTTGTGGATGGAAATCGGATCCTCTTTATTGAAGTCTGATCGTCCTTGCATTATGCAATGTGAATTTCGGTGTTATTTATTCAGATAAAATCACTTTTTTGCTTATCAAATTCAAAGTTAAGAAGCGATCAGAGATATTCATTACTGGGATTTTTTGTCCTGCTTTTTGGACGTGTAATTTTTCCTATTTATGCGTCATGCTTAGAACTGTTTGAAAACCGGAAAAACTCTTTTGATTAATGGCTGAACATTTCTTTTGGCTAAATGGCTGTTCTCCCCCCCCCCCTCTTTTTAACAGTGATATATCATTGGTTTATCATTGATTTACCAATGGTTTTCGATGAGAGACCGGTAAATTATTGATAGATATTGATTAATCACCAAGTCTAAACCACAAATAAGTTAATCACTGCTTAGCCCTTTTGAAAAATGCCACTGTCCTAATTCAACAAAAACTTGGTTTATTTACCTAAAAATGGTGGGTTGTTTGTTTGGGGGATTCGTACCCCGATTCGAATCATGGTTCATGGTTCGCTACAATGTTTTCTCTCACAAAAAATACACGTAAATCGAAAATGGTTCTAATATCATGATTCTAATACATGAACCAAACGTCAAAAACGGCCATTTACATTAAAACCCCGAGAGAACCTCAAGTGCATAGCATTTCCTTTGCAACTGACCCATTTGGTTATTTTTATAATATGAAACGATGGAGATTGAATTCTTGCGGTGAACTAAGATATACCCATTTCTACATATAATGGAAGAAGTAATGAGCTTGGAAAGAAAATAAAGTGGATAAGAATAGGGATTCTTTGATTCTCTTTTTAGCTTTTACTTATCTATTAGGATGAGTAGGAGACAATCCAATTCCGTCCCTAGTGTTTATGAATTTTAGGAATATGAATCTTGCTAGTTTGATCACGAAAATGTCTTTGTGCATAATCAAATAATTAATTGCTTGATAAGAGCATATAAGTAAATAAGTGTTTATTCCAATTAACCAGGAAACAATATCGAGGGGGAGTTAGAATAGGCATTCCCTTTCCTCGTTGTCTATATCATGTGGGGCACACATAAATAGATGGGAAAGGGAAACACTCCTCCCGTTCCCTTTCCCATTCAAGTAAGGTAGACATCTCCATAAAGTGTTCAGTTTTGGAATTAGAAACCTTTGTTAGCTATATTTAGGGTGATGTGTATTCTTCTTATGATTGTCTTATTTTTTCACGTTCTTACACTTTTTTCTTTCTTAATTTCCATTTTCCTGTTATAGTTTCCTCTATGTTTTTTACCCCCACTTCTTTCCAGATTTTTTTTTGACGTGGTTTTATTGATGTCTTTTGCGTTTGTTCTACCGTATTTTTCGTGTTCACTGGTCAGTAAATTGTTTACTTGCTGCATAAGGGAATAATGATAAGCCTCTAATCTCTTTAAGAGTAATATGGATCTAAACTATTGGATAGCTTTATTAATTTTGGATGGGAATGACACTAGTTGCTATTGTTGTTGTTTTTGCAGTGGAGAGGTTAAATTCGTCTGCAACAAGGAATATATCAAATGAAATGTTCTAAGGACCTAAAAGTATAAGTCCTATCCTTGCGATTAAAGCCTCAAGTGGTTTGATGGGTAAGGAAACTCAGTCACAATCTAAAAGTGGAGTTAGTGACGAAGGTTGCTCTCCTAGTGACAGTGACAATTTAGAGTCTTACTCCCGCCATAGTTCGGAGAAGGATGTTGGCTTGGGAACTTGTCGTGTATGCCAATGTGTTGAATCAGAGAAAAGGGGAGATGCAGCATTAGAGTTTTTAGATATAGTTCCTCCGTTACAGGAAGCATGTAAAAGCAATGGAGAAATGAATCCTGATAAAAAAGTGATTGTGAAAAATGCTGAAAGCGATGTTTCTGTAAAGAAGAATGTTAGAGAATCTCGTCTCGTGGAACTTGTAAGTCCTGATGGTGAGGTTCTCATCTGTAATGTCGATTTAGAAATGGGCTCATGTGACCATCAAGACACATTAATTGAGCTTGGTTGCTCTTGCAAAAATGACCTTGCTTTGGTACATTATGCATGTGCACTGAAATGGTTTGTTAACCATGGATCTACTGTTTGTGAAATTTGTGGTCATGTTGCAAAAAATATTAGAACTGCAGACTTTAGAAAGGTTGTGGTTTCTTTGAAAGAATATGAAGCACTGAGGGAAAGGACTGCTAGTGGAGAACCCAATCCTGCCCATGTTCAAACAAGTACTGGTGTAGACCCTGATGCCGTAGCTGCTATCCGAAGGCAACGGCTGAGTGAGATTTCCCTATGGTTTGGTCCACATAATAACAGTAATAATAACAATCATGCTCCAGTTTCACAAGCTGTATCTGAACAGTCTTTGAATACTGTAACTGAAGACGTTACGCCTGCTGAAAATCTTGCTGCAAAGTGGGCTGTGGAAGGTACTGGGATTCTTCTTGCTACAGGTCTACTTACTGTTACTCTTGCATGGCTCATCGCTCCTCGAGTTGGGAAGGTATGTCAGTTTAGGTAGATACATTACTTGTTTTCAAAGGCTTGGCAATTTCTACATAATTATAGATTATAGTTGTGGATGCATAAAGGAACTAGAGTTGGTCAAAGTTTCAGAGAATAATTTGATGCAAGAAAAATAAAATAAAATAAAACGCCATTTTTTTTAATGATAAGTGTTACAAAGTTTGCAGAATCTCCATTTTATTAGACATATAACTTGAGAGAAAGGTGACATCTGGGAAATTTCTCAATCGTTCTCCTATTTCCTCACTTTCACTAGTTCTTGATCCATATATAAACAACCATCGAAAACCATCAACTAACAACACGACATTCACTGTACTCAAGAGCCAGTCCTATATGGTCTTATGATCACCTTTATGTGGTGCTTATGAATGGCGCTTAAGTAATAGTAATGATACTAAATAACAGCCTTGACGAGGTTCTTGTAGTATCCTGTATTGGTTGGTGGAGAGGTTTACTTACAGTTATATGTGGGTTCTCTCTTAGCTGTGTTCGTATTATTTAAAAACTATAATGCCCGAGGTGCTAGCTAACATTTAAGATGTGAACACAAGGTAGGATGATGACAAATAATAATAGAGCGAATGCCAAGGAAGCTGTGCCTACGTGAATATTTGTGGATTAAGCTAGAGAGGATGCTGATTCCCAAGAGAGGAAACTCCACATCCCTTGAAGTAGAAGGTTATAGGCCCATTAAGTAAGAATGTCACTTGTGTAAATGTGGTTTATATGGTGGGTGAGATTTTGAGATGTAAGATTTAAGTTGAGGTTAAAAGACAATATTGGATTCACCATACAAGATATACTTAGGCGGTTGTTAAAAAGTAGAAAAAATGAATAAATACCATTTGGTACTTATCATGTGGAAGAAGCATTGGTTAAGGTTCCTAGGCTGTTAAATACAGTGAATTGTAGAAAACAGAGGAGTTTCTGTTTCAGTGCGTGTGAGGTTGGTACTAATGTGAGAGGTATTAAAAAAAAACTCTCCAATCAATACAGGCCTGTACGGAGCTTGTTTTGAGTTTCCTTTGGTTTTCTTTTGATAATGTGTTAGCTATTTAGCTTCCTAGACCCTTTTAGGTTGATGTTCCTTGGTGTATGCTATTTGTTGCTGGTGATATTCTAGCAATTGAAGATATACTCAAGGGCTACTTCTATAGTTGAATTTGAAACTGTGGCGACACTGTGTTTGGTCCTTCTAATTATGCATGAGTTAGTCTGAATGAGAGTCATTTGAAATACTTTAGGACTAGATAGTGAGTTTCGGAAATTAATAGACTATTTTACCTGAGTTCCATTTTATTTTTTCGTGTCTTGTATCTAAAGTGATGGTTAGATTGAGGACGATGTTAGTATATAGAGTCACCGATAAATGGAGGAAATAAGTAAGTACAGTTCCAGTTCTGTGTGATAGATGAGTTCTTTTCAGAACTGAAACCTAAATTCTGTAGGAATGGACTGACGGCGCTATGGTCTAGATATGAAATGGTGGTCTATTTAAGGAACTTGTTATAGTATAGCTTGCGACATTATGTCTTTATTCTCACTCACAGAGCGTGTAGGATGTCCATGACTTTTCTCTTCTGTCCATGGATGCTGAATTTCCTCGGTTTGCCCTTTTTTTTCTCTTTGGCAGAATCATATTCTAGCTCTATTCAATGAGTCTCAACTTCTATTTTGTATCAGATTATTTGATATTATTTGTATCAACGACAATCATAGGTTACGATATTTAGGAGACATGACAAACCGATGAAAGAAATAAAAGCTGGGTCTCGGAACTGTTATTATTTCGTCGTCTCTGATCATTTTAATCAGAGAGAGCATTACATATGAACTAAAAATTAGATATGTTTGCCATTTTTATCTCATCTGTTTTCTTTGAACTAATGCATTGGATGTGCCCAAGCTTTCTGAAATTTTATTTTATTTTATGTGACTCGTGTCTTTATGAATTATGTGTCAAAAAATTTCACTTTTTTCCAGCTTTGCTTAATAAGTTGAAATTGTTATGTGCAGAAAACTGCCCGAAGTGGTCTTCATATTCTTCTTGGAGGCATTTGTGCTTTAACAGTCGTCGTGTTCTTTCGCTTTGTGAGTACTTCTAGATATTTTTTTTCCTTCTGCTACTTCATGTGCCCTGCTTACTGCATTGATATTTCTCTTGTTTAAATCTTTACATGTTTTAATTGGTTAATTGTGTTTTCCCACTCTAATATTCGTAGATGAGATACTGGGCGATTTTATGTATAAACAATCTGATGTAGAACTAGAAAAGGAGAAGGAGAAGAGAGGAGAGAAAGAAGGGGAAAGAGGAGAATGGGCGGAAATTAGAGAGAAATTGAGAGAGATGAGAGAATGAAGAATCAAGAGAGAGATAATAGTGCAACAATCATTCAATATTCATCGTTGTCTATCATGTCTATAAGAGTAGCCAATTCATACGCTAATTACAAAACCAAAACGAGAAACTAATTAAATGCATAAAATTAGCTAAAAAAATGAATTCTGATCAATCTATTATCTATGATCCGCATCACTTAATCGACAAATTTGGCTTCAACTACATGATCATGAGCTGATTACTAAACTTAGGAAGAAATGTTTTACTCTGCTCAATTACCATATGCAATTCAAACGACATTATTATGTTTTATTCTCTTTTTTGGTCAATTCCAGGTCTTGTAAGCTTTGAAAGCAAGAATTCTTCAGATTTGCAAATAGTATAACCCTTGCACTGTTTTTTTGAATGTTGCAGTTTGTGCTTACCAGAATCAAGTATGGGCCTGCACGCTATTGGGCAATCTTGTTTGTCTTTTGGTTTCTTGTGTTTGGTATATGGGCTTCACGGACACATGGTGCTCATTCAACGTGATTATATCATTATTATTATTATTATTATTATTTTTGTTTGATAAGAAACATATTTGTTTATGCTAATTAATCGAGTTTGTTTGTTTTTTCCTCTTTTAGTTTGTTCCTTTCTCATTTCTCTCATGGTAAAAGAAACTTTTGAAACTTCATCAGGAATAATCTTGGGTATATATTTTTTATGCTAGATTGTGGTATATTGTTGAGTAAGCTCTTGATAGGTAATCTGGATGTGTTGTACCGACAGTTATCATGAAATGCCCTTTAAGGGTTATCTTTCAATTATCTCCTATTTTGATTATTTTGTTTCCAAAAAAAAAAAAAAGAATACTTTGATATTTTATCTCATTAAATATATACTTTTAAATTAGATTTAGTATACAAATCTATACTTTATCTTGATCAATAATGATTTGGCCTTTAAAATGACCCGACTATCCTTAAGAAAAAGAGAAAAAAAACTAAGACATTCTAATATTACAAAAAATGAACTAAAAACACAAATGAACCCCATTTCAATAGTATTTTGCATATTTTTTAAGTTAAATCAATAAGTTTAAAGTTCTTTTAGTTTTTTTTTCCACTTTTTATTCAAGAGTATGTTAGGTATTTTAAGGTTAAAATCGAATACTGTAAAGGTATAAATTTAGGTATTAAATTTAATTTGAAAATCTACATTACATTTAATAAGATAAAAAATTAAAAATATAATTTTTAAATAAGCTCAAAACACATAATATAAAAAGGTAAATACTCCTACATTACAAAAAAAACAGGTTAGATTCGGCATCCTTTTTTTTTTTAATTTTTTTTTTAGCACGAAGCATTGTAGGAGCACACATTAATGAGAGCACATTAGCACAAATTCAATAGTGAGGTAGGTTTTTTTTTTTTTTTTGGAAATAATAGAAAATAGGCTAATATGAAAAATTTAAGGAAATATATAGGTCAACTCTTAGTTATAGAAATTAATAGGTCATAACTTGTCAAGTTATGATTCATAACCAGATAAGTTATAGACAAACTTGTCAAGTTATGGTTCATAGCCAGATAAGTTATGGACAAAAATCGTGATTTATAGACAATAACTTGTCAAGTTATGGACGGCAATAGTAATTTAGCTTATTTATTACTTTATGTAAACTATTGGCTTATTAATTTTAATTCATCTCAAATCTTGATCTATTTCTCTCTTTTCTTCCTTTTTTTTTTTTAATATCGTATTTTGTTTTGTTTATTATTATCTAATGTTTATTTTTCGAAACTTTTATCGAACATGTAAGAAATCGATTTAACCACGGTCTAAACACAAACCGGTACGATAACAGAATAAAAAGAACTAACCCGACGCGGTAATATCAAAAATGAAAAAGAAAATAAATTAAAGAGTGGAATTTTTCTTTCTTTTTTTTTTTTTTTTGGGCTGAAATTAAATAGTGGAAAGTTGCAATCAAATGGTTCCATGATAGTTATGTAACATCAAATAAAAGACATAATTGAACTGGACCAAACACGAAATTTGGTACAATATAATTATTGGCAGTGTGCTGTAGATCCGTGATACAACAACATACTTGGACCAATCAACTGCATTTGACATTATCTTCTCAATAAAACTCTCTCCCCTTCCTGTGGCTAAGAAAATCCCTTTGATACTTGTACTGAAAACTCCAAAAATAGCCAAAAAAAAAAAAAAAGAGAAAAAAACACCCACGTTTTGCGCGAAAAACTTGGGGAGTACTTTCCCTTGAGATATTAATTTAATGTTTTGTTTGTAGTGTATATTGTATATGTAAATTGATTAATGACCAAACTTTTAGGAAGTAGCAATTCATGAAGTATTTAGTTCTCTTTTTCCCGTCTCTGTCCCTATTCCGATCATGAAGGGCCTCTGTATTCAACTTTCCCATCACAACTCCATGTATGTTTTTCTTCACTTCTTCTCTTTAATGCCTATACTATATACCTATACATATATATATATATATATATATTACACACTTTGTTTATCATTCTGATATATCTGAACCAAAGCATTTATAGCAAGACAAGAATTCATAGGTATCCTTCTGATAACAACTATACATGTTGAGCATTTTTGCTTTTTGTTTCTTCGCCAGATATATTATCCTTAAATTTTTCTTTTTTTTTTGTTTTTCCTATTTTAATAATATCCGAGTGGGGGTTCAGTGCGAAATGTGGTTAATCTGGTTAGAATGTTTTTCTTATTTAATTCTAGTTCTTTTCTCTCATAATTTATTATCATTATTTTTTTCTTAAGAAAATAATCACCATAACAACTAATACTATACATGTTTTTTATTATTATTATTTTCTCCTTTCTTTTTCTTCTTCTATGGATTTGAATTTCTGGATGATCTCAAATGGTATATTACTTCTGTAATTTTCTTCTTGTTCTTTTGCGAATTAATACGCGTCATGAGATAAGTTGTGAATGTTATTCTCATGAGTATTGCTAGGAATCGAACCCAACTTTAATCCCAACTCATCTAGCAGTAAATTGTTATTTTTTACTTGTGAATACAATTTTTTGATATTAATTGACGCTATTATATTTAAACACTACTACTAAAAATTCACATACTATGAAGTTTAGTACTAAAAAGATAGAATTAGAGTTAGGCAAACGTTATCTTTTAATCAATAGCTTAATTAGGCGTTCAATATATATATATATATATATATATATATATGTATGTATGTACACATACGTACGGAGTAAATATCCACTATATATCGTTTTATCTTAAAAACAGAAAGATATCCACCGCCCAATCAAAATACAAATAACAATTATGGGGAGAAAAAAAGAGCATAAAATATATCCAGTGCTCACCAATTTGTAAACGGTGAAAGATTTAAAAATTTAAATGCCTCATGCTTTTTCCTTTAAGTAACTCATTAATTATATGAATGATCTTTTTTATATATATACAATTATGAATATATTGATCTTTTAGTACCATAACAAAGAGTTTTTTTTTTTTTTTTTTTTTTTTTTTTAAATTTTTTTTTTTTTTGTATCTGAAAAAAAAAAAAGAAATCTATAAGGACTGTTTTAACCATAGATGTATACTATCCATATGTCATTATATGTAGGAGGGGAAAATGTAGCTAAGGGGTAAATAGAGGTCTCATAATTTATTAAAAACAAATAAGTACGTATAAATATCCCTGCATGGTGATTGAGCATTTCAACTATCAATGATAAGCAAATATTATTTAGGTAGAAACCCACATATGTCATTGATGATTACATTCATGAATATGATTCCTTATGCAATCTATTTCCTTGTTAGTGAAAACAGATTATTCCACAGCAGAAGATCAACAAGAACTGCCTACAAAAATCCTACAAAATTTTCCATCCCCTACTTTAGTGTCTCCTCTTCCTCATCCTTGTAAGTAAACCCTAGTCTTCTAACATATATGTGTAGATGTTATAAATGTGTGTGTGTGTGTCTAACATATATGTGTAGATGTTATAAATGTGTGTGTGTGTGTGTGTGTATATATATATATAGGGGTAATTACGTAAATATATCTCCTAGTTTTATTTATTCTTAAATTTATCTCTTTATTTTCAGAAACTATAAAAGTATTCTTTGAATTTTAAACACTTATTTCAATTTGATCTTTATGCACTTTGTGGATACATAAAAAAATAATAATAATAATAGACATATTAACCCATGTATAATTAGACCAAATTTATTTATGAAAAATTTTTTCCGATAAAAATTTGTGAAAATATTTTAAACATTTTAAAAAGCACAAGTTCTAGATATTTTCTTAAAATGAATTTTTTTAGTTTCTTTCATGTTTTGTAATGTTTCTTTAAATTTTTAAACTACTTTTCAGAAACTATTTTAAGGGTTTCTGTCTTATGTTCCCTCTATTTTTTTTTTTTTGTTAACAAAATGCATGAGGGATGAAATTGAAATAAATATATACAAAGCCTAGTTAGTTCCTTATTTACATTGATAAAATTTTCCTTTGCTTTTGTTTGTGGTTAGCCCTAAAATCAGTTGCATTGCAAGTACTCCGTTAACAACGGAAGTTGAAGAAAAGCTAACATTTGATGTGGATGAAGCGAGATTGCTAGTTAAGGAGCTTCAAAATGTTTTTAAATCTGGAAAAACAAAGAGCTATGAGTGGAGAGTTTCACAATTAAAAAGTATAGCAAAAATGCTTGAAGAAAGGGAAAAAGACATCACTGAAGCTCTTCACAAAGACCTTGAAAAGCCTGAACTTGAAGCCTTTATTTCGGAGGTATCATTTTATTCCTTAATTTGTTTGATAAAACTGGATAATTAAGGGCTTGTTCTTTTGAGTGAAAAACTCAAAAAAATACAACTTGAATTACAACTTTATTTGAGTTCATGTTCTTTTAGTTTAAACTCGAGTTCAAACTCGAGTTTAGGAATAAAACTCGAGTTCAAGTTTCCCCTTCAACTCGAGTTCAGAAACTTGAACTCAAATTAATGAACAATATTTTTTATATTCTTAAAAATGCTATAATTTTTTCGTTTTAATTCTAATTGAGATGATTTTTTTCTATGCATTGACAACGAAAAGACGAATAAAACCCGACCTATATACCCTATTAAAATTTTTCATCAACATTGAGTTTTTATTTAAATACTATCTAAATACAAATTCAAGTTTTGACTCACTCAAATGCAAACTCAAAAAGATTCTTATCTCAAACCATAACTCAAATGTACACAACCAAACACAAACTCAAGTTACAAGTTCAACTCAAGTTATAACTCAAATTCAACTCAAGAATTATATTCAAGTTAAACTCCAAAAGAACAAGCCCTAAATGATCCAGTCAAGATCTTAACGAGTTTGTGACGGAAGGGCAAATGTGAGACTTTATCATAGTTGGGGTAGAGTTGTCAAACGTGCCGTGCCGGGCCAGAGCGGCACGCTTGACACCAGGCCCATTAAGGGCCTGGGCCGTGCCTGGCACGACCCTGCACAGTGCAGGGCCGGGCCTGAGAAGAAAAACTCAGGCCCAGTCCAGGCCCTTGGCCCTAGTCCATAAGGGCCTAGGCCGGGCCTGGGCCCAGGCCCTTCACGGGCCGGCCCCGGCCATTGTATTTTTTTTAAATTTAATTAAAAAAAAATATCATATGTCCCAAAAGATGTGATTTTTTTGAATTGACGTAATAGGAGTACACATAAATGACTGCATCGTTAAAAACCTTGCTAAGTAAAACCCGTGGGGAGATCGAGACAAAACCTTAGCGAAAGAAAAAAGAGTGCAGTAGCTAGGAATAGTAAATTACAAACCTAAGTGCTTCCAGAAGATTCTGTTATTTCTAAATTAGAAAAATATGCTTGCATCGAATCATCTGTGTATTGTTGTTTTAGTCTTCTGGCATCTTCCCAGTCTTTAACGCACATTAGCCCCTCCAAGATATCTGGATGCATTATGCTTCTCTTCTCGTCAAGAATTCGGTTACTTGCGCTAAAAGCTTACTCCGATGCTACCGTTGACACTGGAGTCGTCAGAATGTCACGAGCTATTATGGACAGTGTCAGAAAACGATCGGTTTTGCTCCTCCACCACTGTAAGATGTCTAGTTTGTCGTCATCGATTACAAAATTTGCTTCAAAATATTTTATTAGTTCCGTAGACGCTTGTGTTGAGGACGATCCTGCCCTTTTTTCTTTCTTCTTCAAGAAACTCCACGACGATCCTTTAGGCCCCGAATTAGTAGTTGACGACGAAGTTCCCTATTCTTTTTGACCTGTGTTGTATTTTACTTCATACAAACTAAAAACCTTTTATAACATTTTCTTAGTGTCAGTAATACTTAGTTGCATATCTATTTCTAAATTCTCTGCGGTAGCAGTCATCAATGATTTAGTTCCATCTACTCCACACCTAGGATCTCAAATGGTTGCCAATGCATATAACATAGGACAACCTTACCAATAACTTTTAAATTTATTTTCCATTAACTTAACTATATTTCTAAAAAGTTATGTATCCCTATAATAAGAAAATGTTTCTGAAATATTAAATAGTTGATGTAAAGCTAAATGTGCAGTAGGATAATAAACTCTAAAAAGTTATTCAGTAGTATTGTAAAAAACTTCTAGAAATTTAAAAAAATACTAAGCAATCTGCCAATCAGGATCGAAAATTAAAATTTGATCGTTCTTACTGTTTACGTATGTCGTGATAAGTTGTGAATACGGGAGTGCTGCCTTTAACATTAAATATGTTGAATTCCACCTATATCTCACGTCAGTTGGAAACTTTCTTGGCAACATATGACTGTTCCTGTAATATTATTTGAATTCTTGGAGCTGAGCTCCAGAACTATATATGAATGATAATGATTCTCTAATATTTGTAAGATTAGCTGAGATATGTTCAATTCCTGCCTAAACTACTAAATTAATTATGTGACATGCACACCGTTGATGAAAAATTTCCCCTCCAAATGTTGGTTTCAAACTACGTTTAAACAGATTAATTGCAGCTGTATTAGCTGACGCATTATCAAAAGTAATTATTAAAACTTTATCTTCTATCCCATAAAACCTAAAAATTTTCACATTGTACTAAAAATAGATGATGCGTTATGAGGATATGGACATAAACGAAAACCAATTATTCTTTTTTGTAAAACCCAATCATCATCAACGTAGTGCGCTGTGACACATAAATATCCAGTTTTATTGCACCCCTCCCACATATCAGAAGTGCAAGAGACAGTAGCATTAAAAGTCATAAAATTATCAACAAGAGATTGTCTCATTGCATAAAAAACTTTCATGCAATCAGAATGAGTTGTGTTTCTACTTACCCATTTAAATTGTGGGTAAAAGGCTGTCTGGATGAATTCTTCGAACGAGGCATCATCTGTAAAAGAAAGAGGCAATTTGGCACTAGTTAAAAATTTAGCTAGTGCCTCATGAGCACGTTGTGCATCGTATGTAAAATTTTGTAACCTCTGTGATGTGAGTGATAGTGTTTGTTGGCGGGAGTCCACACTCCCACCTTGGTGCAACGGTGAAATGCTTATCCAGATGACCAGTACCCCCACCCATTTTATTAGAAAAGTATTTTTTACAATATTTACATACCGCACGAATTTCCATCTCACATGTTTTTGGATTTGGTCGGGGCTCCTCGGTGAAATGCTGCCATGACAGAGAAGTTCACGGTCTTTTTCCCCTGCTGTGTTCTCCAGCTTCGTTGTTGTGCACTGAAACATTATCCACCGGAACATTTTCTGGTTTAGTGGGGGTGGGGTGGGGAGACATCATTTCTTCCTCAAAAAATGCCTCATCACTAAGCTCAGGAATAACAGTGAAATCATGGAAGTTTGGTGCAGCCATTTTTTAAAAATTGATAGAACTTGATTGAACTTTGTAAATGAAAGAGCAAGAAAATGAATGAACGCGAGAAAAAAAGCTTAGAATCAAAATCAAAGAGACAAATTGAGAGATAGAATTAGAGTGAGATGAGAAGTTGAGAGTGAATTATTGTGTGGGATTTATGGTGGAATTAAGGGGTATTTATAGGAGATATTGGGGTGAAATTCCTGATTCTAGCCGTTGGACCCTTCGCGGGCCCAACGTACGACACGTGACGGGCCTCCCGTTTGGCCCGTCATGTGCCAAACGGGAGACACGTGACGGGCCAAACGGGAGGCCCGTCATGTGCCGCCCGTTGGGCCCACAAAGGGCCCCCTGGACCAATTGAAATGGGCTGTTTCATGGGTTGTTTTGTGGGCTTGGGCCGGGCCGAACAAGGGCCGAATCAGGGCTTGGGCCGTGCAGAACAAGGGCCGTGCCGCGGGCCTCCACGTGCTTGGGCCGCGGGCTGAGAAGCTGAGGCCCAGCCCTAGCCCACTACATGTGCCGGGCCGGCACGGCCCGTAACAGTAGCGAACCGGGCCGTGCTGAATCCGGCACTATTGCAGGCTGGGCCGGGCCGTCCATGGACGGCCCGGCCTATTTGACACCTCTAAGTTCGGGTGTGTGATTTGTAATGTTTTGAAATTCAGGGGTCAAAACAGAATAAGGTCCATAGTTCAGTGGCCGAAATTGAAATTAACCCTAACAAATTAAAAATGCAGATTTCTACATCAAAATCCTCGTGCCAGCATGCACTGCAAGAGTTACAACATTGGATGGCACCTGAAAAGGTTAATACTTATAAAATCAGTCCAATAATCTCTCTCTGTTTTTTTTTTTTTTTTGTGTGGCTCCTACATAAAAATGAGAATTAATATGTATATTGGACATATTTTTCAGGTCAAAACTTCAATCACATCATATCCATCGTCTGCAGAAATTGTATCAGAACCTCTAGGAGTTGTGTTGGTGATCTCAACATGGAATTTCCCTTTCTGTATGTCTTCTCTCATATCATGGCTACTTTAACATAAATTACAGATATAAGCATGCTTATTATGTCCAAAGCAAATAGCTAATAACTTTTTTTATATCTTTTGGTCATCTCAACATGGAAGTATTAACTTAATAATATTTTGGTAATCTCAACATGGAATTATTCACGTAATGCATATCTTATATTGATGGCTGTTTGGTGCACACGTTTAAATAAGTGATTTTATAGTTCTGAATATAGACCTATTGATAGGAACTTTTTTTATTTAAATTTTTTGTGAGAGAAAAATAGTTTAGAGAATTATAATCATGGTTTCAAACGCGTGAACTAAAGAGGTGTCTCATTATTAGTTTTCAAAAATTTTTATTTTGGGGAGAGTATTAAGCCCCGTTCACTTCGCGGATTCGAGTTTTCAATTCGAGCTGAAACGTGACATTTTCTGAAAGCTTTTAACTGTAGTAAAAAAAAGTTATATGTGACATTTTTTGAGAGCTTTTAACTGTAGAAATCTAGAATTGAAAACTCGAATCGGTGAAATGAACGAGACCTTAATGTCTATTTTATTTGCAGTGTTATCTCTTGATCCGGTGATTGGAGCTATTTCAGCTGGGAATGCAGTGGTTCTAAAACCATCAGAAGTAGCTCCAGGAACATCATCCTTACTTGCAAGATTGTTTGAGAAATACTTGGACAATTCTGCCATTAGGGTTGTTGAGGGGGCTGTTCCAGAAACAACTGCACTGCTTGAGCAAAAATGGAATAAGATATTATATACAGGTCAGTTTCTCAGGCTTATTAATTTCATTTTCAAGGTACTACTTGTTTTTCCACTCTTTCAATTCTTTGAATGCATGTTAAAATATTTCTCAATACATGATGTATATATATAATCATAGTTGAACGAGATAGATTCACATATTTACACGATTATGCTCCTATGTGCTCCCGAACTTTAAGTTTATATCCACTTTATCCTCATAACTTTAAGAAACTCCACTTTGTTTTGCAAACTATGAATTAATCTCATTTACCTTTCTATTAGAATTTTTGTCAAGAACATGTCGATAAAATAGGGGAGCAAGTGTGGTCTCCCTGTATTATTATTAGAATTTCCATTAAAAACAAACGGAAAAGACCATGTGAGTTAATTTTCTCTTTTTGTTAAGGGTAAAATACCTGAGTCTCATATTATCTAAATATAAATACAACCACAGTTATATAAGGATATTAAGTCACCCATTTAAATATGTTAGCCTTTTAAAATGGAAACTCAATATTTTATAAAGTACAATTCTTCTCCCTCACTTTTTTCACTTTTCTTCTCATCTCTCTTCAAACTCTAACACTTTTTTTATGTCCTTTTTAACAGAAATTCTAAAAAATAGGACTAATTTAAAATTTGTTGAGTAAAATAAGAGTTTTTAAAGTTCGAAGTCAAAACGCATATAAGATTGATCCAATAAATAAATAAATAAAACCTTCTATACATTAAGACATCATTGGGTAAAGATATAGACATTCTTATGAACATTAAAAAAAAGGAACATTACATGATAAACATTATCAATCAAGGCCTAAAAAGGAGGAAAAGAACAAAAAACAAAAAAAAAAAGAAAATTCTACAACAATCAAATATTGATCACGATGGACATTATACATACTATATTATATTATAATATGTGCAGGTAGTGCAAGAGTTGGGCGCATTGTGATGGCTGCAGCTGCAAAGCACCTTACACCAGTTATTCTTGAACTTGGGGGCAAGTGCCCAGCTGTTGTTGATTCAAATCTTAACTTACAGGTTGGTACCCTAATAGTTTAGTGGGGGTTTTTTTTTTTTTTTTTTTTTGTTATTCTGAATTTAAATAATTCAATTATGTAGGGATGCACGTCTAAATTTTATTAATAAAAGGGTATAAAAATAAAATATTTTATATAAAAAATTCCAGGGGAACATATATATATATATATATATATAATATCATGCATTTGTATATGTATTTTTGTTTTGTAAATTTCATGGTTATAAGTTTTGATGAATGTGTGATTTTAAGGTTGCTTCCAGGAGAATAATAGCAGGCAAGTGGGCTTTGAATAATGGACAAGCTTGTATAGCTATTGATTATATCATCACAACCAAAGACTTTGCTCCCACGTTGGTAAGTTTTATGGACAAAATGATTATCAATTCCACATGCACATATATTACACTTGAGGTTGATTATCAATGCTTTCTATATTCATACTTTGGTGAAACTTTTTCAAGTGCAGGGTCTAATTTGTGGTAAGACACACACACATATATATATAGTTATATATTAGTGATGTATATATTTTTCATCGTCATATGATTACATTACAATTCTGTCAGAATCAAACAACATTATAATAGTTGATTAGCAAAAACAATATTATAAAATTAAGTTTGATGACTTTTAATTTATTAGATTGTAGTCATGATATAATTAATTAAGTTTTAAGCATTGTCTTCCCAAACTTTTCGGTTTTTGGTAACTTGCCCCTACAATTTTAATTTTGGTAAATTTTCCCCAAACTTTTTAAATAGTTGTAATTTGTCCTATTTTGTTAATTTTCCATTAAATTGAGGGCTTGAATTTGAAAGATTTGCATTATGATTTGAATTTGATTTAGAAGGTGCGCTTGTGCTTTCCGTCACTAATTTAACGGGAAGCTAAGCAAAATAAGACACATGCAACAATTTAAAAATTCATTGATAAATTATCAAAATTAAAAGTTTTAAATAATTGTCAAAAACTAGAGATCCACTACAAGAATCAAAGCCTTTAGTGAGGACTTTTGCCATCCCTAAAACCCCAATTAGTTATGTTGGAACAAAAAGTATCATGTCACTTGTAACATTTACTATTACTGTTCTGTACGTAATATATATGAATGTTTCCTTTTCCTTAAACCATGTATCTCTATTGCTCTATTCAACAGATTGATTCTCTAAGACGTGAATTGGAACAAAGTTTTGGACAAAATCCACTGGAAACTAGAGATGTTTCTCGTATAGTTAACAAATACCATTTCTCACGTTTGCTGAAGCTCTTAGACGAAGATAAGGTCTCAGATAAGATTGTACTGGGAGGCCAAAGTAATGAAGACCAATTGTGAGTACATGACACACACATACATTATATACATACAACACATGTATATATATATATATATATATGTATATATAAATACACATAATATATGTATATACATATATTGGTTTCTCTACTGGCATGGGTCACGATCTTAAGCATATATAAGAGAAATTAATAAACTATATAACATTGATCGCAGAAGGATAGCACCAACAATTTTATTGGATGTTCCAGATGACACTGAGATAATGAAGGAGGAGATATTCGGGCCATTTCTTCCTATTGTCACGGTCAGTAAATATATTATTATTATTATTATTATTATTATTATTGTTGTTGTTGTTGTTATTATTATTATTATTATTATTATTTTGAATGTGGGGTCGTGGATTTTAACTCTAAATCAAGTATGGAATTGTCGATCGTGTTTGGAATTGTCGATCGTGTTTTTATTTTTCACGTTTTTTGAGAAAAAAAAAATGAAAATGTTTCCAAAACGGCATTTGGCGCAATAAAGACAAAAAAGGGAAATGAAAATGATTTTTTGGTTTAGTGTAAAATGAGAGAGAAATGAAAAACGACTTTTTATTTTTTGTTTTCGTTTTCTCCTCTCTTGAGCAGAGAGAGAGAAAGAGAAACATTAATGAGTTTTTTTACACTGAAAATAATCTTTTGATAAAACTACCAAACACATTTTCAAAAATGATTTCTGTCTGAGATTGAAAACGTTTTCATTTTCATTTTCATACAAAAAATAAAATCATTTTAAAACGAGTTCCAAAATGCGCCCATGATTTCGTTGTGCCTACAACCACCATAATGTGATAAGTAGCACATCTGTTTTAAACAAAATAAAGCATATTCGAGCCACTACTAAGTAGCGGATTAGATATCTTTTTATATCTTACCGTGAAATTCTTATGTTTTAAAAATAATATAACAGGCGATAAGAAAACTATTACATATTACTTCATTACAAAATCATGTTGATTTATAGATTTTAATCCCAAGCTACTATAATTCATTTCTCATCCTTTTAATTATTTAATCTTGCAGGTTGAGAAGATAGAAGACAGTTTTGATGTCATAAACTCAAGACCCCAACCTCTTGTTGCATATCTTTTCACTAACAATGATCAATTGAAGAAAGATTATGTGCAGAACGTATCTTCAGGAGGAATGCTTGTAAATGATACAGTTCTACATGTGAGTTTCTTCTTCTTCTTTTTATATATATATATATATAGATATATATATATATAGATTTTCACTAACAATGATCAATTGAAGAAAGATTATGTGCAGAACGTATCTTCAGGAGGAATGCTTGTAAATGATACAGTTCTACATGTGAGTTTCTTCTTCTTCTTTTTATATATATATATATATAGATATATATATATATAGATATACATATATATATATATATATATATTTCATCTCTTATTTTTGTACAATGTGTATCGAACCCATTCTCTTAGTCCCACTACATCCTATCCCATGCTGTTTAATCTAATGGCCATTCACATGTATCCCATCTTCTTAATACTTATGTTTCTATTAATTTCATTTAGATATTTTTCTTCTTTTTTGAACCTACAACAATAACAACAAACCTTAATTCCAACTTAATTAGGGTCGGTTATATGGATTTCACTTTTTTACGCAGCTCTGTTCGAATCTTTTTTGAACCTAATGCCTTAAAATTATGGTGGATCGGAAAATTGCTCCTTAAACTAAATATTGAGAATTCTCTAAAAGTCACAAAATTCATATACATTTTTAACACAATAATAATAGATTGATCATCTACATCTCATATATGATGTAAATGTTCCATGTCACTATATATGCTTTATAATCACTTAACTATACCTTCATTTTTATTTGATTATTACACTTTACTAATTGGAACATTTTTCTTTAATATATATATATATATATTGTGCTGCAAATTACTGATTAGCTAATTATTATAAAACATTAATATTGCAGGTGACGGTTGATGGTTTACCGTTTGGAGGAGTGGGAGAGAGTGGGATGGGTTCATATCATGGCAAGTTCTCTTTTGATGGTTTTAGCCACAAGAAGTCAGTTATGTACAGGGGCTTTGAGCCTGATGCCTCAGTCAGATATCCCCCATACACGCCTCAAAAACAAAGATTATTGAAGGCCTTACTCAGCGGCAAAATACTTGCAATTATCCAAGCTCTCATAGGATGGTTTTAATATACATCAATTTTCATGTAATTAATAATGGAGATAAATTTGCATCTTTGACCAATTAGACATTAGATTATTGTATTCACAACAGCTTGATGTTAAAAGTAATTATATGTTCTGGCTCTCTGGACACATTTTAACCATTTTTTTTCTCACTTTATCCTTATAATTAGGTCTAATAATTTTTTCTTGGTAGTTTTTTTATCTCGATAATAAGTTAGCTTGGGGATCCCGGTTTTTGATTCTTTCCTTTGTCACTTGTTTCTTCGATCAAGCACTAGAAGTTGATCGCGGTTGCACACATGCATAGTTTAGCAGTAAAATTCACACCTGACTCCGTCAAAAGACATATCATTAAAAGCCTTTACTTTTAAATTCATAAAATGACGATGATGATGATAAAAATACTAGCGGTTGTTAACCATTCTGGCTTAATTTCTGGTTGTCATCTATGCCTATGAGTATGGAGAACCATTTTAATAAAATTCAGTACTTTGGTGATCGGTAAAATTGTGTTTATAGGTACCCTGAATTATTTATTTTTTTATTCTTTCAAAATTTGTGAGCGGATTAATACTCGTCATTCTAAAGGTTAATTATTCGTTACGTAAATAATTATAGGTTCTTGGTATGAAGACTATTTCCTTTCTAAAAATTCTACTTGATGTATAAAAGTTAATTATTTGTTACGTAAATAATAAATAAATATATAAAATCAGACGGTACACTCGTTGGGCCTATTTGAAGTGAATAGGTGATATTGTCCTCAAACAAAAAGGCAAGACTTCAAAAATTAGGTTAATCACTTTTGATATTAGAATATTAAGTTAACAAAAAAAAAAAAAAAAAGAGAACCTTGAAAAAAGGAGAATCTTCATGGGAAAAAGGGGGTGTAAACGGGTCACAAGGTTGGTCCCCATCGACCCACTAGGTTTTAACTCGCACCGTCCCATTATTTACTGGGTTAGGTTAGTGCGAAGCGGTTAAAATGATATCCCTAATCTTGTGTTGTGAGACCTGCAACCGTGGCAAGATCCATGACAAAACATGCTACTGACATAAGTAAATTAGAGCACATAAGTACAATTTTAGTACTAAATATATAGCATCAGGCAATTGTAGCACGCTAGCATAAGATGAGCTTGTACTTTAGAAAAAGTCTAATTTATCCGAAATTTGACCAAATAGATTTTTTTTTTTTTTTTGGTTGTTAAAAGTTGACAAGAATAATCAATTTAAGAGGTGTCAATGTTATTAAACAAAAATCAATAGAGTGCCCATGTTAATAATTTTCCTTTGGCAAGTTTTTAGAGGCTTTATCTATTATATAATAAAAATGTGATGAAACATGCAGCCGTCAACCAAATTTTTTTCCGTTTATACCCTCCGTGTGTTATATTTTTTACTTATTTGTTATTTACTCTTTTCTCTTAGAATTTAAGAAAAATAGTTAATATGTGTTTCCATTTATGCCCTTCACCTTTTGTATTATATACTTATTTGTTACTTACTTTTTTTTATCTTACTTAAGGCTCACAAAATGCGGTTTAATTTTTATTTCTATTTATGCCCTTCACTCTTTTTATTTTTTACTTACTTGCTATCTACTATTTTTTATTACTTAAAGCTTAGAAAAAAGCGGTTAAATTTACGTTTTCTTTTATACCCTTTACTTTTAGTACTTTTTATTTTCTTGTTATTTACTATTCTCTCTTATTTATAGCTTAAAAAAAATGATTTATTTTTTTGTTTCCAGCCCGTCATCTTTTGTACTTTCTTTTTACTTATATAAGTTTTTTTATTTATTTAGAACTTAAGAAAAAGTGGTTAAATTAAATAATAATTGTATTACGTGTCGAAAGTGACTTCTGAACCATCGCTCATCAAAAACTACGTAAGATTTTGTTAGTTTATTTACTTTTTTCTCTTACTTAAGGCTACAAGAAAAAGATTAAATTAAATAATAATATTTCTATTACATGATAAAATGATCATTTTATCATTTTATTTAGACTAAAACCTTATATTAATAAGATGTTTAAAATTTATTTGCATCAAGTTTTTGTTTCATAACTTGTTTTTAATGATATAGATACATTATATGCAGATCTTTTTCTTGTGCTATGTTTTTCAAATAACAAATAAAATATTCACTATTATTTATAACCTTTTAAAATTATTTTACTTCCTCTTCGTAACGCTTTTTATTTTTTAAACTATAATTAATAGACTCTGATGATTATTTAGAACTTATTTGTCTATCTTATAAAATTATTTTTCTAATAAACAATAAATATAATAGTTAAATTTATGTCCTATTATAATTAGCACGTGCAATTGTTTTTTTTTTTTTGTTTTTACTAGTTTATATAACAAGTCACCAAATAGAGATGATACATTGAAGCTCCTGGCGATTGTTTTGACTATACTTATTTTAAAGAAAAATATTGAATAACCATATGAGGCTATAGTTCCACCCTCTTATATGTGGGGCCACCACGTTGAAAAATTTTCATATTCAACCAATATTCCAATAAAAAAAATTCTTGTTACAAAATACAATGTGAAGCATTCCAGTAATTTTCTACAAGAAATGTCGTCACGTGCTACTATTACTATATATACTACTATTAACATGGTGGCTAACTTGCTACCACTAGCCGCCGTAGGATCTGGTGACCATGCTGAATCATGATCAATCCAGACTGTCATTTCCCACCGACTCCACCTAACATTGGGCCAGACAAAGATTGCCACGGCCACATATATATAGATATATATATATATAGATATACATATATATATATATATATATATTTCATCTCTTATTTTTGTACAATGTGTATCGAACCCATTCTCTTAGTCCCACTACATCCTATCCCATGCTGTTTAATCTAATGGCCATTCACATGTATCCCATCTTCTTAATACTTATGTTTCTATTAATTTCATTTAGATATTTTTCTTCTTTTTTGAACCTACAACAATAACAACAAACCTTAATTCCAACTTAATTAGGGTCGGTTATATGGATTTCACTTTTTTACGCAGCTCTGTTCGAATCTTTTTTGAACCTAATGCCTTAAAATTATGGTGGATCGGAAAATTGCTCCTTAAACTAAATATTGAGAATTCTCTAAAAGTCACAAAATTCATATACATTTTTAACACAATAATAATAGATTGATCATCTACATCTCATATATGATGTAAATGTTCCATGTCACTATATATGCTTTATAATCACTTAACTATACCTTCATTTTTATTTGATTATTACACTTTACTAATTGGAACATTTTTCTTTAATATATATATATATATATTGTGCTGCAAATTACTGATTAGCTAATTATTATAAAACATTAATATTGCAGGTGACGGTTGATGGTTTACCGTTTGGAGGAGTGGGAGAGAGTGGGATGGGTTCATATCATGGCAAGTTCTCTTTTGATGGTTTTAGCCACAAGAAGTCAGTTATGTACAGGGGCTTTGAGCCTGATGCCTCAGTCAGATATCCCCCATACACGCCTCAAAAACAAAGATTATTGAAGGCCTTACTCAGCGGCAAAATACTTGCAATTATCCAAGCTCTCATAGGATGGTTTTAATATACATCAATTTTCATGTAATTAATAATGGAGATAAATTTGCATCTTTGACCAATTAGACATTAGATTATTGTATTCACAACAGCTTGATGTTAAAAGTAATTATATGTTCTGGCTCTCTGGACACATTTTAACCATTTTTTTTCTCACTTTATCCTTATAATTAGGTCTAATAATTTTTTCTTGGTAGTTTTTTTATCTCGATAATAAGTTAGCTTGGGGATCCCGGTTTTTGATTCTTTCCTTTGTCACTTGTTTCTTCGATCAAGCACTAGAAGTTGATCGCGGTTGCACACATGCATAGTTTAGCAGTAAAATTCACACCTGACTCCGTCAAAAGACATATCATTAAAAGCCTTTACTTTTAAATTCATAAAATGACGATGATGATGATAAAAATACTAGCGGTTGTTAACCATTCTGGCTTAATTTCTGGTTGTCATCTATGCCTATGAGTATGGAGAACCATTTTAATAAAATTCAGTACTTTGGTGATCGGTAAAATTGTGTTTATAGGTACCCTGAATTATTTATTTTTTTATTCTTTCAAAATTTGTGAGCGGATTAATACTCGTCATTCTAAAGGTTAATTATTCGTTACGTAAATAATTATAGGTTCTTGGTATGAAGACTATTTCCTTTCTAAAAATTCTACTTGATGTATAAAAGTTAATTATTTGTTACGTAAATAATAAATAAATATATAAAATCAGACGGTACACTCGTTGGGCCTATTTGAAGTGAATAGGTGATATTGTCCTCAAACAAAAAGGCAAGACTTCAAAAATTAGGTTAATCACTTTTGATATTAGAATATTAAGTTAACAAAAAAAAAAAAAAAAAGAGAACCTTGAAAAAAGGAGAATCTTCATGGGAAAAAGGGGGTGTAAACGGGTCACAAGGTTGGTCCCCATCGACCCACTAGGTTTTAACTCGCACCGTCCCATTATTTACTGGGTTAGGTTAGTGCGAAGCGGTTAAAATGATATCCCTAATCTTGTGTTGTGAGACCTGCAACCGTGGCAAGATCCATGACAAAACATGCTACTGACATAAGTAAATTAGAGCACATAAGTACAATTTTAGTACTAAATATATAGCATCAGGCAATTGTAGCACGCTAGCATAAGATGAGCTTGTACTTTAGAAAAAGTCTAATTTATCCGAAATTTGACCAAATAGATTTTTTTTTTTTTTTGGTTGTTAAAAGTTGACAAGAATAATCAATTTAAGAGGTGTCAATGTTATTAAACAAAAATCAATAGAGTGCCCATGTTAATAATTTTCCTTTGGCAAGTTTTTAGAGGCTTTATCTATTATATAATAAAAATGTGATGAAACATGCAGCCGTCAACCAAATTTTTTTCCGTTTATACCCTCCGTGTGTTATATTTTTTACTTATTTGTTATTTACTCTTTTCTCTTAGAATTTAAGAAAAATAGTTAATATGTGTTTCCATTTATGCCCTTCACCTTTTGTATTATATACTTATTTGTTACTTACTTTTTTTTATCTTACTTAAGGCTCACAAAATGCGGTTTAATTTTTATTTCTATTTATGCCCTTCACTCTTTTTATTTTTTACTTACTTGCTATCTACTATTTTTTATTACTTAAAGCTTAGAAAAAAGCGGTTAAATTTACGTTTTCTTTTATACCCTTTACTTTTAGTACTTTTTATTTTCTTGTTATTTACTATTCTCTCTTATTTATAGCTTAAGAAAAAATGATTTATTTTTTTGTTTCCAGCCCGTCATCTTTTGTACTTTCTTTTTACTTATATAAGTTTTTTTATTTATTTAGAACTTAAGAAAAAGTGGTTAAATTAAATAATAATTGTATTACGTGTCGAAAGTGACTTCTGAACCATCGCTCATCAAAAACTACGTAAGATTTTGTTAGTTTATTTACTTTTTTCTCTTACTTAAGGCTACAAGAAAAAGATTAAATTAAATAATAATATTTCTATTACATGATAAAATGATCATTTTATCATTTTATTTAGACTAAAACCTTATATTAATAAGATGTTTAAAATTTATTTGCATCAAGTTTTTGTTTCATAACTTGTTTTTAATGATATAGATACATTATATGCAGATCTTTTTCTTGTGCTATGTTTTTCAAATAACAAATAAAATATTCACTATTATTTATAACCTTTTAAAATTATTTTACTTCCTCTTCGTAACGCTTTTTATTTTTTAAACTATAATTAATAGACTCTGATGATTATTTAGAACTTATTTGTCTATCTTATAAAATTATTTTTCTAATAAACAATAAATATAATAGTTAAATTTATGTCCTATTATAATTAGCACGTGCAATTGTTTTTTTTTTTTTGTTTTTACTAGTTTATATAACAAGTCACCAAATAGAGATGATACATTGAAGCTCCTGGCGATTGTTTTGACTATACTTATTTTAAAGAAAAATATTGAATAACCATATGAGGCTATAGTTCCACCCTCTTATATGTGGGGCCACCACGTTGAAAAATTTTCATATTCAACCAATATTCCAATAAAAAAAATTCTTGTTACAAAATACAATGTGAAGCATTCCAGTAATTTTCTACAAGAAATGTCGTCACGTGCTACTATTACTATATATACTACTATTAACATGGTGGCTAACTTGCTACCACTAGCCGCCGTAGGATCTGGTGACCATGCTGAATCATGATCAATCCAGACTGTCATTTCCCACCGACTCCACCTAACATTGGGCCAGACAAAGATTGCCACGGCCACAATACAAGGACGATCAACTCAATCTTGAGTTACCTAAATTTCAATAAGATAATATTGGGCCCATATTAAGGTTATCAATATAGGCATGAAAAATGTTTTGACAGCATTCGGTACACAACTAATACAAAGTGAATCGAATCCCATATCGTGTGATTCACTTTTTATTAGCGGGGTGGTGTTGAAAAGCGCGACCTCTGATGTCTCCTAACATTGTTCTATACATAAATAAATATATATATATATTTTTTTTGTATAATTTTTGGTGTGGGTTATTAAAAATCTAAAAAGGTTTCTGTAGGAACGTGAACATGTCTTGCAAGGGAGAGAGCTGGTCCAATTGGAACTGAACTTGAGAGCCAAAAGGGTCTTGATCCAAGAACCCTTCCATGTAGTTGAAGTTATCAAAGGCATTGTTATTGTTCTCAAAGCCGTTATTCCATTTGGGTTGACTTTGAACCTCTCTGTTGTCGTACGTGATCTCGGGCGAGAGCACGTGCTCCGTGCAGCTCGAGTCCGTCGTGTGCGTGTGCGAGTGCGGCTTCGGTATAGAATCCGACATGTCCATGTACAAGCGGTCGTTGGGGAAATTACGCAACGCAATGTCCGGCTTCTTGTCCTCAAATTCCGAGTTTAATTCCTCAAAATTTTGCCCCGTTGGGTAGTTTTTCAACTCTACGTTACCCTTTTTGTTGTAAATTCGACACAATACCCAATCGTCTAACTGCAAAAAACAAAACATGGTAGGTTTTAGGTCAATTTATCCGAATTTCTAATAGTCAAATTTTTATTAAGAATTATCAAATTGCATTAACAGATTAAAAAAAAAACAAATTATCAAAATTTGATAAAAAGATCACATAGTGTAATACTCTACTAATGTAGCATCGATTTTTATAGTTAAAAAAAGGAGTTGATTTTGTATATATTTTCTATTTTATTCCATAGAGTTACAATGTAAGAAACAAAATGAGAGTTTGAGGGAAAGAAATAAAAATAAAAAAGTACCCTGGAGTTGTTCTTTTTGGAAGCAGAGCGATCGACATTGGCAAGGCGATACTCGTGCATGATCCAGTTGGTTTTGACTCCTCTAGGGGCTTTCCCGGAGTAGAAAACCAGGGCCTTCTTGATTCCCAATGGTTTGGGCTTTCCAATGGGCTTGTCGGCCCCAGTCGCCTTCCAATAGCCCCTCCCCGCGGCCCGGTTCGGCCGTGACCCGTTCGGATATTTCCTGTCCCTTGGCGAAAAGAAATACCATTCTTTTTCTCCGTAAAGCGCCATTTCTGCTCCACAAAAGCACAAACAAACATCACACACAAATTTAGAAACCAAAAAAAAAAATATATATATATATATATATATATCTGATTCAGAAACGAGAAATCCAGAAAGTTCAATTCCAGAAATTTTTTTTAAAATTATTTAGATTAGTAAACTCCGAATAAATTTTTATTCTCTGAACCAAAAACCGATTGAAGAAACGAGTAATTCGAAAAGTTCAACATTTGGAAAACATTTATTAAAAGAATAATTACAACTTCAGAGGTCGAAAAATGAAATTGAAAAAATTCAAATCAGATAAAAAAAAAGATTGAATTTGAATGTCTTCTTAATTTCGGAATCAATTTATAGCGTTTGAATAAAAAAACCAATTAATAGACGAGTAATTTGAAAAATTCGAAGTTTACAAAACAATTTAACCTAGCGATATCGAGGTATAAACGTCAAAATCAGCGAATCAAACTGAAAATGGAGCAAAACTAATCCGATCTGAATTTTCAAATCTAGAGAGAGAGAGGAGAGGAGAAACAGAGGAGAGTAATAGTAAATAGTACCAGGTAGTTGCCATGGATCAAACTTGTAGAGATCGATTTCTTTGATAATCGGAACAGAAATCGGAAGCGAAGCACATTTCCTTATCAAGTAATGATTCACAAGCTCCTCGTCCGTCGGATGAAACCTGAATCCCGGCGGCAACTCCAATTGTTCACCAGTCGTCATTCACGTCCCAAGATCTCTCTCTCTCTCCTCTTTCTCTCTCTAACTTCTTCTTTCCCTCTCTAACTTCTTCTTCTTCTCTCTCTCTCTCTCTCTCTCTCTCTAAATTGTTTCCTCTTCTTCTTCTTATTTCTTGCTTCGTTGATCTGCGAACTCAGGGAAGCTAAGAGAGCGATGGGCTTATATACATATGAGCACAGAGAGCGAAATTTCGGGGAAGGAATTTAGTCACGTGCGAGAGATCGGGATGAGCGCAGCCAGGTGTGCGTCTTGTGACGCTGGTCAGGCAGGCCAATAGAAGGGCGCCACGTGGGGCCCGGTTCCTCTTGCTGGTTTTGTCACTGCTTCCGTCACAACTCTTGGACGCTTTTTTAAATGTCGGCCTTGATTCGTCTTACTTAGATCGTTGACGGTCAAGGCTTAGACTTTTATATTAGTCCCGGTCTTAAAAGGATCCTATGTTCCGAACCCTATGATATCCTTTTCGAAAAATATTTATCTCTATCTGGATAAAAACACCATCACATATAAAAAAACGAGTCCAATTAGGTCAGGTTCTACCAACCCATCTAACCGAACTCATTTTGGGCCCATTTAGTTTACTGATTTAAGTTTTTAATTTAAGTTTAGATGTAATTTTATGTGAAAGCTTTTTACTGCAGTAAAAAAGTTAGATGTAATTATTTGTGAAAACTTTTTACTGTAGAAAAACTTGAATTCTAAACTCGAATCAGCGAAATGAACGGGGTCTTAATGATGAATAAGAGTGCTTATACTTTTCTAGCATCACTAATTAGATTTTGAAATTCAATAATGTTATGGAGCACGAGTCACATAAATTCACTAATGAAGTTCAATTTATATTAGTTGTGAACATGATCAATGGCGTGTCCCCTAAACTTTTTTAGCGTCACCAGTCGGGTTTTGTACTTAAACAATATTGTAAGGCAATTGCGATGGTGAGTACTACCCTGAAATAGAGCCCACAAATAGGACCTCTCTTTTATTAATTTTGAATTTTTAACACCAAACGAGTTTAAAAGCTTTTTTTTTCAAGATAAATAATGTTACGCAACATCAGTTGCGTCTGACACTAGATATTAATAGAATATTAGACCTACACATGAGATCGACCTTATATTAGGAACAATATTATAGGATATGGACGGCTCTAAGTACCCTATAATAATAAAAATATGTCCCGTAAAATTAGTACTATATGTATGATTAATTTGTTAAAAGTTTTAGAGCTTAGCATTGGTAATGTCTCTAAGTATTTTTCTTATGTGAGTGTGGTACTTTAACTGTGGTGTTTAATATGCGTGGTGCCCCAACCATTTTTATTAGAGTAGGGCTCTTTGGTCATTTTGATAATGTAGTTGATGTTTCGTCATAGGAAAGCTTGATTATGATTGGTCATAAAGAAATCAAGGACTGAGCTGAGTTGCAGAGGATTAAGAAGTGGATTTTTTTTCCTACGTAAGCAGACCAACGTCATCCGTAGCCGCTGAGTTGTCTGTTTTATCCACCTAACAGTTTTATCATTGAATTGATCAAATTTTCCTCTCATATTTTCGTGAATTTGACTTTATTTATTTATTTTTTTAAAAGTTTTCAATTATCTACTAGCGCATGGCATGGAACTTCGTTGAATTTTCTGTCCCTTTGTCTCCCATGTATGCCTTCTCTTTTTCGCTTAAATTAAATATTTATTTCCTTTTCATAAGACACACCGAAATAGAACGCATAATACACACAAATAAAGATTTAACGCACGCTTGTCAAACTGAAGAATATGACATTAAGGAGAACATAATTATAGAAATTTACTTCATAGTTTGAGTTTTCAAAAAAAATTCTCTCTTTGTTTTTAAAAAACCTAACCGGCATCCTACAAAATTATAATGAAAAGACCATTATGCACTCCAGTTGCACAAAAATAAAAATAATAAAAAGCATATTTTCGTCTCATAAACTTTGTTAGAGTATAGAGGGGGAAATTTCAACTTTTTTTTTTTGATAAAAAATTTTATGTCATACTTGCCCACCAACAAGTATTGGAAGTCAGTTATTGAAAAATACTTATAGTTGATCATAAGTTCTCATGGACTGCTGCAATATCAATCTACAAACTAGGAATAAAATTTAGCATGCATATTGTGTGGAAGCGTATAGTAAAGAGCTAAATAAATCCTACTGTTGACGGTAAAAATTCGTCAATAGAGTAATGATGAATCTTTAGTGCTAATACATGAATTTAAAGCGTAATTTAGAGCTAAAAAGGGATAAAGAACACCAGAATTTATAGTGGCTCACCCCCAAATGCTGGGCTACGTCTACTGTGAGTATTTTTCACTAATCATTTTAGGAAGAATTACAATCTTCCCCAGGGAACTGCCCGGGGAGGTATTACAATGCTCACCCTTATGATGGAGGAGGAAGAAGAGGTTTTATGTGATTCTCTTGTCGCTAGGAGTCCCCATGTCTCTCTGCCTTTACCCTTCATATATACCATCATATATGTTTCCCGCCCAGCTCCATAGGCCGAACTCTGAGCCGCTCATGCCATTCCTCATAACAGTACCCTCTGGTGACTAAGATGTTGGCTAGTCTCTCACGTTCTCTACTAACTTTACGTGCATTTGATGCCTGCCACATGTTTGAAAAGCTGTCACGCTACGTGAACGTGGGTGTGGTCAGCGCCTTAGTACTCCTTGAAGCGGTCTTCGCTCCTGAGGGAGAATAAGGTCGACCGTATGATGCACTCCCTAATGTGGTCGACCTCTTTTGGGTTTTAGCTCCTATTTACGGTCGGCAGCCATAGTTGGTGTCTCTAGGAAGGTACGATTCCTTGTGATCTACTGGCCCGGCCTTTTAATACTTGTAATGCCACGTGGCAACCATTTAACAGCTGATGTGATGTGTGAAATTTTTCCATATAACATCTGCCCCCCAGATCGAGGCATCTCTGGGGGATGTCTCGACGTTTTGTTGCGCACTTGTCCATTTTACCCCTCCAGAGTTGGCTTCTTTGGGAAGGATCTTCCTCCCTAGGGTTTTAGGCAATGATGTCACCTACTTTGAAGAAAAATTAGATAAAAATATATTTGTTGACCAGAGTATAAAAAAGGTGACCATAAGAATGTATTTTAGCCCGATACTATTTATTAATGATAAATTTCGTATGAAAGTTCAAGGAAAAATCATAATTGTGTATGAAGATCAAACCCTTTCTTTATTACATTAATGTCCATATTTTTCTTAATTGAGTTTTTTCTCTTTCTCGTTAGGAAAAAAAAGAGGGAGATTATTGGTGTTATTTTGTTCCTCGTCTCCTTTATTATTCATAAAGAAAAAAGGTTTTTGGAATTTATCTCTCTTAATACACTTATTTAGTTCTGTGTTATTTTCTTAAAATTTATGTCACTCTTAAATTAAGATATAATGAGAGAAACTCAGAAAGAATGTGCATAAAGTTTATAGTGTTTAACAAAGAGCATAAATCTTTTAGAATCTTTTTTGGTGGGCTGGTCTATTCGTAGTGCCAGTTTTTAATCATTATATCTGGTCAAAATTACATCAGATTGAAAATTATGCAGAACTTACATAAACTGATACAGATCTGACAACTGAAAAGTAGATAACTACTGATAGTTTATTTTTTTAAGTCATACCAGAGAAACTCCCGAAGCTTTATGCCCTTTTAGTGAAAGGTTTTCTTTCAAGAAATATCAGAACTTACCAATAAAACGAGAAAGACATTCTTACTATTATACCAATGCATTAGTTTAGTTGAGGGAAAGGTAACACATCAATTGATTCAGGCACTTGAACTTTTGTAAAACATATGGTATTGATGCCATTTTATGATTTAACCTGAAAATATTTTCGAAAGAAATATCGTTTTGAAAGCTTATGTTAGTCATTTATTTTTGAGAAAATTGACCTAAAAATAATATCATAGATATTTAATGTTTTACACTATAATACAGATTCATTTTTTTTTATCCATGAGAGGTTTATGTTACACCCCTACTTTTAGTATATGTTTTCTTTCATGAATGATTGAAGTATGAGACTTTTTAGGTAGGCCTCTCTACTTATGGTGTCAATCTCTGACCGTTGAATCTAATTAAAATTATATTAGATTAAAAAGTATGTAGAATACAGTTTTTCATACAGATCTGACGGTTGAAAGGTAGAGAACTACCGGTAGTTTAATTCAACTGGTCCTACCAAATAAACTTTCCTTAAAGTATTTTTCTAAAGATTAATGTTATGGGGCACCAGAGCACAGCACATAAATACACAATAAGTTCCATAATATGCAGCTTATGGTGATAGTATCTATTAAGGGTGTGTAAACCAATCAAACCGCTCGTTTTAGATGAAATGCAAACCAAACTAATTACAAATTGGTCTAGAGATTTTCAAACCAAATCAATTAATGAATCTAATTGAATCCAAACCAAACCAAATGTAATTGGTTTTGTTTGATTTTTTAATTGGTTTAAACTAATATTGTAGGGAATGGTGTCCTGAAAATATAAGATGTAATTAAGGATTTTATTATTTCATTAATAAGGTAAAAATTTTAATTATTTATGTGCATGTATTATTGAATACTTTATGAATATCATTAAAAATTATGCAATTATTTATATAACCTTAAATATGGTATATAAGTGTTATGTACTTCAGGATAATATTTAAGGATAATAATCAAAAGTGGTACCATATATATAGGTTATGATAGAAACTTCTATGGTTATTAATCATTTAATTTTGAGATAAACGAGTTTTTTAAATATAAATAAACTATAGATATATGAAATGTATATAATTTTAGGAAAATTATGTATATAGAAATTGGTTCGGTTTGGTTTTTTTAGACGTAAAACCACACACCAAACCCATTTAATTGGTTTTTTTTTTTTAAAAAAAATTTAAACAAAACTAAATTGGTTATTAATTGATTTGGGCTGATTTTCTTTTAGTTTAGTTTATTAATTGATTTGGTCTGATTTTCTTTTAGTTTAGTTTGGTTTGATTGGTTTAAATGGTTTGAATTGCACATATCTAGTACCG